AAACACAGCATAATGCTTTTGCCTTACTGATGGCACAAAGCTGGAATTGCCAGATTTGCCCTCAGACTCTCAAATTTAGTCAAGTTAACCACAGAATCTTCCCAATCGGTAAATAGCTTTGAAGCACAAGCACATAATTGCAAAAGTTTTGTGCCATAAAATGAGGCTTTCCTTCTCTTCTAAAGGCCATTACATGGAGCAATTTGACACTATATGTTAAGCAATAGTGACCATTATTTGTAACAGTTAAAGTTAGTAGTTTTAGGTTATTTGTGTTTTTATATATTTTATGTTTCTAATTATTAATGTACAAAATTTAAAATTTTCAAGACTGACAATTATTAAAGAAAGATTTTTTTGTTTAGTTTTCATTTTTAAATCTCCCTAATAGATGTTCAAGAGATGTTCAAATTAAAATTGTGGCTTTTAAATAAAAGGATCCCCTAATTTATGTTTAGCAACATCCATTGATTTTTTTATACATAACAGAAAAAAATCATCTGTTTTTTTCAATCTTTTGAAATGTATTCAGTTACTGTTGAATTAATGTGGTAAAAAACAGCATATTGAAGGTGCCAATGGCGAGTTGGGTTGACATTTTAAATTTGAATCCTAATTATATTTTCTTCATTTCATTTTGATAGAATAAAATGACAACATTATTTGCTTTAAATACTGAAATTGTTAAATTTTCTGATCAATTTTTTGGCCAATTGTTGCAAAAACAAAGATTTTTCGGTGCATTTTTGCATACGATCTTTAATGCTATTTCCTCAAATAATGGTGCAAGTGAGAGATCTAGTTTTTGGTATCAGTTCTTTTTGTGATGTCAACAAACACTTGTTACCACTTTTGTAATGTCAACGAATACTTGTCACTTTCATAATGCCTGTTGTAGTAGAAGCTTTGTAATCGCAGATACAATTACAGTAACACTGTTGAACAATACTGGTGTCAGTTGCCTTTGAATAACACTCATACTAATAGTACTTGCTTGATAATACTTGCACAAAAAGTAACCACTGAATAATGATACAAATAGTAATCCATATAGTGATCACTTAGATGCCATGCTAATTCCCATATAAACATTTCCTTTACCATCACGTGATCTACTTATTCAAAATGGGATCTGTTGTGTTTGCTCTCTGGTGATCTGTGTTCAAACTCCAGTGTTGGCAGTGACACTTTATTCCTATATAACAGTACTTATTATATCGATACACAACTTTTTATGTGTAATGCAATTTGATATTTTGGAAAAGTGAAAAATCAACCTACCCTAGTCAACTAAACAAAAACGAACATCAGCAATTTTTTTGTGGAAAATTAGTAAATTTAAAGTTGAATTAATCTGTTCTGAAACAAATATTACTTATAGCATTAAATTTGCTATACCAGCATTTCTTGACCACAGGGTCTTGTTATTCTCATGTCTCCATCAATATATTGATGACCAAAGATGTTGACAGGTTAAGTATGGTGGACCAGAATTGACATAAATTTATAAATTCTAAGTAAAAACAGTTTGTTTTTGTTTTTTAATTGCCATGTAATTTTTAAAAATTAACAAAATATTTTAAGCAATTATCTAATATTTTATTGAATTTTTGTAAATACATATGACTGAAGATGCTTTCTGAAAATATTAAATTTAAAATACTGCAAAAATTTCTTAAATTAATAACATTTCATAAATTATTGAGTTAACTCTAATTTTTACCTTTCTACCATGTTCAAAATTTTGGTTATTTTTTTTTGTGTGTGTCAACAGTGTACACATTTTAAATTTTTTGTTTTAAATCAGATTAATTTAAATTTAAATTCGCCTCAAATAACATTTCAGAAAAATATATTGTATTTTACAAAGTTTTTAAAAATGAGAATTAGCTTTTGTTTACAAAAAAAATGGTAAGATTTTTATTGCTTTTTTTACTGACAAAAAAAGATACAAAAATCATTCTAATCAATATATAATTTGTTTGAAATACACAAGAGTATTTTGCTTACTAGAAATAACAAAAAAAAAATTAAAAGCTAAAATGAAAACTTTTTGTTCTTTAAAACGTAGGTATTGAGAATTAGTACCTACCACAATTAAAAATAAAATGAGAAAAGAAAACTAATTTCAAATGTAAATGAAATAAAGTATAAAAATAATTAAACTAAACATTAGGTTTAAAATAAAATAAACCTTTTTAAAGGGTTTTATCAAAATATAACTCACAAAAAAGAATGAAGAAACTTTTAAAAAAATTAAACAAAAACAAATTATTGTTCTTCACTAAGTAAAACTAAAAGGGTTATGAGTGTAAGTGGGACAACCCTTGAAAAACGTGACCGTTTCAGAATCATGTTACATATGAAACACCATACTTAAAAGAACATTTAGACACAAAAATTATTTTTAATTATTGTAAAAATGTTTGGTTGGATGATTTGTATTAAACATTTCAATTTTTGCTTAGTAAATATAGTCTTCATTTAATAACTTAATAACCTAACTTTGATAATGTTTGAAAGAATTTTAAAACATTTTTAAAATTTTATAATTAAAAAATAAAAAATGCAAACAATTCTTGTTTGAAAAAAAATTTTTTCCTTCAGACTATGTCCTTAATGTATATTATTTATAAAAGTGATTAAAAGCTTACTTAATTAAATAATTAGACAGTTTTATTGCAGTTTTTATTTTATGATTTTCAGCAGATTTTAGGGAATGTGGTATTAGTCGGAAAAACAAAAATTAATTATTTTTACTAATAAAAAACATTTCTCTGACGATTTTAAATTCTAGAAAATTTTATGAAATTAAGTAAGGCAGGTGTTAATAGACGTAAAGACAAAATAAGTAAATTTTCTGAAAATAATAACTTCAAAAATAAATTCATTCATTTGTGAATAACCCATGAAAGTGTCATTAAAATCCAACAATTATTTGATTCTTGCAAGAATTTCCAAATTAATGTGTTATTTTATCAGAAATGGTAGTGCGACAATGTCCATTACCAGCACTGTTACACCGTCAACACACACACACACACACACACACACAAAAAAAAATTTAACCCAAATTTTGAATGTGCTAGAAAGGAGTAAAAAATTTTAAAAAATAATCAAAAAATACTTTGGTCTTTTCTCTTAATAACATTTTGATAATAAAAAATTGTTTTTAAGTTTGGGATAATTTTCATCATGGTATGCTCTTTTTTTCAGTTAATTAGTGAAGGTACCTATACTAATGTAAATCTATGAAAGTTAAGTGGAATAAGCAGACTTTTAAAAAGTGGGAATACATCTATTATCCAAGTGGAGTAGGCAAAACTTGGATAGGATAAATTTTTATGCATAATTTTGGCATGTTAAAATTTTATTCACACCTAAATGGCAGATACAAATTAGAAACTTTGCAGATATACATAACATGAAACTGCAAACGTCACAGACTACAGAGAAATCAGGATTTCTCCATTTCACAAATATACCAGTTTTGCATTATACTTACACTGTAAAACCATATTAATGTTATAATTAATAGCAGATTTTTTTTTTATAAAGCTATAATTAATACTGGGTTGTCAGATTTTTGTCTACAAAAAACAGGATAATACCATTATGTAGAAATTATATTATCATATATTTTTTAATGCATTTAAAAAACAAAAGGAGCCTGATTTTCAATTCTGTATTTTTCATCTGATCCTCTAAAAACATAATAATTAAGCAATGAAATGTTTCATATACTTTTTCCACACTGTCAAATTTTATCAAGTAAAAATTTGTTTAAAAAACACGGATGAAAATAAATTGTAACATTAGTTATCAATATCAATATATTGGGTTAGTTCATAGCGTTTTTCAAGAGGTAGCATTTGAACATGTGATTGAAATTCATTACATATATATATATTCTGAAAGGTGACATTTCAACTCATCTTTCTATATGATTCATGTGTGGATTGTGAATTCTCAGTTTACATTAAAAGTAAAAATAGAAAAAATGGGACATTTTTATCATTTGTGCCATTTCATTTTTAGAAAGAAAAAAAAACACTAACAGCAAAAATGATGTACAGTTTATAGAAATGTTGCCATAGCTGAAAATAAGTGGTTCACTGAGTTCAGAAGAAAAAATTCTAATCTGGAAGAACATTCTGGCTGGCTTGAAGGTATTGATGATGACTAAATCTAAACACAGAATAAAAATAATCTATGACACAGGACAATGCAGGGATACTCTACTTTATGATGAGTATTATAAGTTGTTTAAAAAAAACTTGGATACATGTATTACTACAAGGTTTGGGTGTCTCATGACTTAATGGAAAAACTGTAATGGTTGCATTTCTATTTACAATTCTCTGTTCAAACAGCAGGATAATCAAAAGTAGTTTATTTACAACAATGTGGATTGAAAAATGTCCTGAGGGAAATTAAATTAGCCACTCTTAATCATTACTTAATCTAGTCTGCAAATGAAGAAAATGATGCTGTGTGTCTGTGGAATTGGAATAGCATTGTATATTACAGGCTCCTTCTGTAAAATCAGATTTTGAATTCAGATAAGTACTGCTAAAACTCTCAAATGCACAGGTCAGTAGACATTAATTTACTCTGATTAAAAGATGTGTGTCTGGTGGGATAGGAAGGGCTTATGTATTACAAATACAAATATTGTCTATGAAATTCACTCGAAAAAAATACTATACATTTTTGTCCTGACCCAATATTTTGTAAACTAGCAATGTAATACTTGGATTTTGCAATAGATTCTTATACCATATTAAATTCTGTGTTTTGCTAGAACAATTTGCCTTGACCACTTAAAAATATCAGTTCAACTATTTTTTGAGCTGGTGCAAATTGGATCTGTGAATGTTTTCTTGAATATTCCAAAGTATTTACCAAAAAGTGTGAAACTAAAGAGAATGTACTACTGAGTACATTAACTCTTTGAACCCCCCCCCACCCCTTGTACTGATTTGATTAAATTTACTTACTTTGAAGAATGGAGGAATTTAGAAGATGATAAAATTTTCCATTCATTGATTATTTCAGAATATCTTGGCTCCAATTCTGTCTCAGTTGGAATATCCAAATCAATCAAATAGTGGCACTTGCTAACATTGAACTAAAAGGTAAAAAAAGTAATTTTGGTGTTAAAATACATAGACAAATTACCTCAAAATCTAATGCTATATTTTTCACATAAGAAACATACATTTTTGTAACAAATGTTTTTCCAAATTACTCTTGCTTTTAATTTTACTGAAATTAGTAGACACTCATTAACAATGAGTGTCTACTAATTTCTACTCATTAGCATTAAATAAGCTGCATATCACAAATTAGGATAAATATGAAAGCAAAACAAATGTCATTATCAACAAAGAATAATCTTACAAGCAAAACCAACAAACAAATTGCACTATTGCATTTATGTTAATAACATCATAAATTCAGTAGGGTGATTTGTTCATAGCTTATGCCAATGGCAAGCATTGGTTTTGTTACTTGACTTTAAGAAAAGATGTACTCATACATCAAATTAACTTTGCTAGAGTATTAAATATTGCAGGGTGATAGAAAAAAGGTTAAACTAATCATTAAATCAAGCTTTTTCAACAGAAATATTGAAAATAATAGTTTACATATCGTGTTGGTTCTTCTTTATTCATGTTATTCATATGAGATGGAATTGTTGAAGTAGAATCTGGTCCAGGATAATATGGCTTTGGCAACTGTCCTTTAAACTCTGATTGGAGGAATCTTAAATGCCAACTAAAATAATAAAGAAAACAATACAGGTAAATATTTTAAAATAATTTTTTAAAATATTTCAAATTTTCAGAAAGATTAAATGATGTTGAAAAATGGAATATGTTGTGAAAAAGATTATTCCAGCAAGAATCTACTATTGAAGTAGTGTTATAAATAACTAAAAGTTTAAACAGATTGTTAATTGTGACTTTATTTATTGAAGTAGTTGGTTACCACTTTTTTCTATAATGGCTGATTCAACTGATCAAATGACAAGGATGTAATTATTAACATATCTAGTGTGGAAAACATTAATAAATAGAAACTATGATTCTCCCACATTAATCATTGTGAACACTAAAAAAAAATGTAAACTAAATCAAATACATTGGACAAATACATTATTAATTTGAAGGATATTTAACCAGAACTCACACTGAATTTCAATAATACTTACTTTTTATCAGGTAGAAAAAAGCTGTTAGGGAATCTATACCATTCTTTGCCAACACATACATTAACAGATTTGTCTGGAGATAAAGTGTGGATATCAGGATTTCCAGCAATCTGATTCAACTCCAGATACACATCTATTGGGGCATGGTAACCTAGATAAAATGAATGTTCTTTGCTGGAAATATATCTTTGGTGTTTGTTAAATATAAATATATATAAATGCAAAGATGAGAAATGGCAACTTGCTTAATCAATGAGAAAGAAATAAGTGATCAAAGTAATTTATATTTCTAAATTTTGTAGGTCAGATAACAAGTTCATTACTTTTTGTAAATATGCAAGATAATTTCTGTTAGGGGAAGATAATTTCCTTTCTCTATAAAGGACGATAACTCAATAAACAATGAAGCACGACACTTCTGAAAAAAGCATGGGACAAAATGACACACATGTGGAATTCATGGTTTCAATCCAAACAAATCCTTTGCTGTTTTCAGACAGTAAAAGAATAAAAGTTGTTTTATTACATGTTAAAATACACTTGTTTTTATTTTCATTTGTTTTTGTCAATAACCAACAGCCTGGGGTAAAACAAATTTTTTGGTGACGAGGACCTAAACTTCAAAATCAACATGACAATTTCATTTGAGATGCTTAATGAGATTTTACACCACCAGCAGGAACAGTTTCAGAAGTCACAACAACAGTTATTGACAGCAATTTCTGCACAGTTCCAGAGTAAACACAAAATTTTCTGTGCCAGAACAGACCAAAAAACCAATTAAGCCGATATCTTAGCAAACAACATAACAGAATTCCATGATGACCCAGCAGACAGGAAAACATTCACTTTGTGGTTTAAACATTGGATGGATATCTTTCATGATGACTTTAAATTCCCTCATGCTGATGTTCATACACAACTTCTTTCAAAACTGGAACAAAGCAAAGACTATATTAAAAACCCTCACCACTGAATGCAATAATTTATTAATCATCAAAAGAGATACTACACTGGTCAAAAAAAACCCAAGGATTTATCAATAACCAGCAACATCGACATTATGCACACTTTTGACTGTCCAAAAAATATAAGTGCAATATTTCTAACTGGAACAGACATAAAGAAAGATTTTGCGATCAAAATTCATATAAAAATTCAACCCGAAAAAAATGAAACAGGAGATAAACACTGTATTTGTGACATTCAAAGTGGATTATGAATCCCACAGATAATTTATTTGTAGTGAACGAGATAATCAAGTACCCCGGAAAAAAGTTTGTGTTTTGTGTGCGATCTGCCAGGGAGGGATTGCCAAAAAGTAGTCAGCAAAACTCTTATAGCGACTTACCTCGTCAACCCAAGCGACAGCGCGTCGCGTGTATTCTGTGACGACAAAAGAAACAAGTCCGTCGCGAGGAGTCACTATAAGAGTATATTAATATGCAAATTACGGAGCATCCTATCCCAGCTGTCAACGAATGGAAAAAATAGGTTCTGCCGATAAAAGCAGTTGGTGTTTTCGACTCGGGAAGGAAAATTCAGGCATTTTTGGCTACGGCGTTTGTGAGTTATTTTCCTGACGCGTTACAAGTGATTTTCTTTCTTTGTGTTGTGAAAAGCCACAAATTTGCTTTGAGAACACTTACTCTTCAAGCTATTTCGGCGTTTACCTTGTCTCTCAAGAAGATGGCGGAAAGACCGTTCGATATAAAACTGATCCCCGAATTCAGTGGTGATACTAGTGGACAGTCTGTGGTTGAATGGATCGAAAAAAGGTGGAACTGGTCTGTGAATTATGCGAGATATCGAAGATTGATCGGATTCTTCCTCTGCGATTGAATGGCGGTGCCCTTGCTGTGTATAGGCAGCTGAGTAAAGAACAGAAAAGTGACATTGAGCAAATAAAGCACGCTCTACTAACCGTGTTTGGAACTGACCGGTTCGTGGCCTACGACCAATTCCAGGCACAGCGTCTGCGACCTGGTGAGACAGTAGACGTATATTTGGCAGAATTAAAGAAGCTTGCCATTCTAGTCGCACCGCTTCCTGAAGAATGGATGACATGTGCCTTCGTTTCTGGATTGCCCAGTCATATTAAGCAGATACTCCGCGCATCATCCAGAATGGAAGACCTGACACTCAATCAATTGTTGACCAGAGCCCGTGCTGTCATGATCGACGAAAAAGAGGCTGATGAACCAGTGGCCGCAGTTATTCAACCAATTGAAGCCAAAGAAGGTCCGACCCCAGCCATTCGTCACCATGGCATTGCCACCTGCTATCGGTGCTCTGGGCCGAATCATTTTGCCAGAGACTGCCGCTATCAACGCGAAGAAATGCGCAGCGGGTCGGCGTGAAAGGCACGTCTCGATCTATGATGCTTTCATTCGTTTAGAAAGTAGGTCATATTGCCTCTAAGTGCCCGGGAAGTGGAATGGGGGACGTGACGTCAGCGCCGGTCTCTTCTCCGCACCGAGCATGAAAGTGGTGCTCCCTGTGATTAAGGTACACATCAATGGAATAACGCGTATCGCTTTAATAGATTCGGGTTGCTCTCGGTCACTCACCAACGGTTCGATTTGCCGACAGTGGAGCAGACAAAAGATGGACATACTAACGGCTGATGGAAAGGCTCTCAGAAGCCGGGGAGTTGGAAACATCAAACTCAGTATTAACAACAGTGACCCTGTCACAGTCAGTGTGTTGGTCGTGGACAGCGTGTTATTAGGTTTCGATCTGCTCCTTGGGATGGACATTATTAAGGAGCTGGGCGGGCGTACGATTACAGAGACAGGCGAAGTCAAGTTTTCTGATCCGCCCATCTGTGCTACTTTGAAGATCAACGAGCCCGACTTTAGCGCAGAGTTTGACCAAAGGGGACGAAGACATGGACAGCATTTTGGAAATGGTCGGAAAATAACCCACCAGAAAAGCTCCAGAACCGAGTGTCAGAATATTCGGTGCCCGAACGCGTCAAGGAAGAATACCAGCGAGAATTGCAGGTGTGGCTGGATAACGGATGGCTGACTCCGTATCCCGAGGAAGAGCTTGGTCCTCCAAGAGGCCCTCATCCCGTTGATGGCCGTGGTACAAAAGAACAAGGGAAAAGTGCGCCCTGTACTAGATTATAGAGAACTGAACGAACATGTAGACACATACACAGCTCATGCTGATGTGTGTGCACAAAATTGAGAGAATGGCGAACAAAGGGATCCAATGTCTCTGTGATTGACCTTGAAAGGCCTACTTGCATTTGCGTGCATTACACCGGTCACTGTGGCCATTTTCAGACGGTGATCCTTAATGGGACGAGGTACTGCTTAACCGAATGGGATTCGGACTCAATGTGGCGCCGGCCATCATGAAAGCCATCGTGGATGCTGTGCTATCCCAGGATGAGACAATTCATCAGCTTACGTCAGCCTACATTGACGACATCTACATCAACGAAATCTTAGTACCCGCTTCACAGGTGAGAAAGCATCTTGCTGACTTTGGGCTCGAATGTAAAAAACCCAGAACGACTGGAGGATGGTGCTCGGGTGCTCGGCTTGCAGGTCTGGGGGAGCACAACATGCTTTACTGGAAGCGTGGAAGCGAGCTCCCGGACATTCTAAAACACATGACCCCGCAGCGTGTTTTCTTTATGTGGAAAGCTGGTGGGACATTTTCCCCATGGGCGGGTGGATCCGCATTGCAACTGCATTTATTAAACGTGGGGTGACTGCTGTCACTTCCGCTGGGATGACACAACAAATGATGCTCCTCTTAGACACATGATAGTGGAAGTCATTACTAGGGTGCGTCAAGGCGACCCCGTATGTGGTAAATGGTGCGTTGACGGATGTGAATTTAACGTCTGGGTCGACGAGCTCCCTTGCAACAGGAGTGTCTCTTGAAGTAGGTGACACTGTCATGGAAGATGCGTGTTGGTTGCGCCCGAGAAGGATCGCAACATATCAACCTATCAGAATTAGGCGCCCGTTATCAGGGGGAGTCGCTGCGGCCCTTCAATGGAATGCAAAGGCATTGCATTTATTCACGGATTCTGCATGCGTGTATAAGTGGATAGCAGACACTCTTACGGGAAGGCTAGGATACGTGACAAAGGCTGCGAAAGCGAGATGCTCATTCAAAGGAGGCTAGACACACTGGGAAAGTTGGTAAGTGAATACCACTTATCCGTAGACATACAGCTGGTCAGATCACAGCAGAACAAGGCCGATATTTTAACAAGGGTACCCTAAAAAATGGCTTGACGCTATTAAGAAAGAGGTAGAGCCGGTAGGACTTGTCTGTGTAACATCAGCGAGCAACTATAACTCAGATTTACTAAAATCTGTGCATTGCCAAAGGACATCCGGTGTAAACGGACCTTATATTTCGTGAGGCAGATTTATCCCTCCGTATCCAAAGCTGCTGTCAGGGCAGTGGTCAGAGGATGCAAGGAGTGTCAGTCCATCGACCCAGCACCTGTGCAATGGCAAAAAGGACAAGTGAGTGTAAGCAAGGTGTGGCACCATGTTGGAATGGACATCACCCATTATAACACATCACTATTTAACCCTGATTGACTGTGGCCCAACCCGGTTCACTATTTGGCGGCGTCTGCGTCGACAGGATTCCGAAAGCGTCATTGACCACTTGGGGTCATTGTTCTTTGAATGTGGACCTCCGATGGAACTCCTCACTGACAATGACACTGCATTCATGAGTGGACTATTCAAAGATTTTGTGGCTTCATGGGGAGTACACCTCAGATTTCGCTGCGTGTATGTCCCATCAGGGAATGGCATAATCGAGTGATGTCATCGGAGCATCAAAAGAATCGCTGCTAGGAAGCAGTGTTCCATAATGGAGGTGGTGTATTGGTACAATGTTACTCCGAGAGACAATAATGTATCGCCCTCAACTGCACCAGCCAATATGATTTATCAGTACAAAGCCCGGCTACGAGGCATTGATGCAACGCGTTCAACTGAACGGATAAACGAACGAAGCGCCCGTATGACTTGGGCGATCGCGTGGGGTGAAATCTCCACATAGCGATGTACAACCCGGTGCGGTGGGGCATGTCACTGGACTAAGTAACTCACGTTCTGTGCTGGTTGATGGCATACCAAGACACATAAAGGACTTGCGTCGCTA